TTTATACATCATAAAATACATAAGCAACACTGTATGTTTTTACCTTCAACAAACCATGCATCCCAGGATGATCATGCATAGGCATTTTAACGCCATGTTTTAATATAAAAATCACAATTGTTAAGTTTTCATTTTCAAATATATCCATCACACACATAGGTGCTGGCTGTTTGCTAACATAATCAAGAACACGTTTATCAAGTTTTATATCCTCCGTAGTTATATTATTTATTAGATTCTTCAATTTATCAAAGTTTTTCTGACAAAGCCGGCGATCACCAAATGTTTTCATTGCTTGCTTCACCAAAGTTTCGATCGCCGATGCCATAATTGTCCACTTTATTCTTTTTCAATCTTTTAATCATTCAGATCAACACGTGATTACAAAGTAATTACATTCAGGCATATATCTGAAAATAATGTGATCTATTAAAAAAACATGACAAATAATATTTATGTAAATAAGTTATTTAAAAAAAGCTTGATATTCTTTTTTTTATAAAGTTGTTACGAAAAATAGAGATATATACAAATATTTCTTTTATCTTTTATCCCTGGTTTAAACAGTTTAAATTATAAGTTATAAGCCTTAAAACTTGTTTTCAATTAAGTAATTTCCAGCAAAAAAACGTTCCAAACTGCTTTGAACTTAATCCCTAAATTTTAAGAGTTGGTTAAATCCTAATTGCAAAGTTTAAGGCTGAAGACAAACATACTGTGTTTACCGTGTATTTATCAAAGAGATGACAGCTTTAACCTCAAGTATCATTCTTTATACAACAATGTCTGTTAATGTAAAGTGAGAAAATTCAATTAAAATATTGAAATATTAAACAATCCCATATATAAATCTTGTATATACAAAGCTTAAAATAATTTCCAGAGAGACCTATACCGAAGGAAAGCAAACAGTAATGCAAATCAAATATAACTTCCGAAACGTACTGTATACGATATCGAAAATCCATAGTTACGTATTATAAGATATAGGTCACGTGATCAAAGATGACGGTGAATAGTAAAACTTGAATGGTTACTTTTAACCACGTGAAACATGTATAGAATGTAAGCGTAGATTTATTCTTTTTAGCTGAGATTCCTGCACCATTCATGTTTCCTTTTTATCTTTTCATCTTGAGAAAAGAAAAGAGAAAAGATCGTACAAAAAGTTCGGCTAAAAAGAATATAGACCTCTAGAAAAACGCTTTTACCTCGCACTGATACCCTAACCTTGAAAAATACCGGTTTGTTTATTACTTTTCCTTTCGGTATGTTCAATGGATTTTAGCTTTTCAGAATATTTAAAAAAAATAAATATATTTTTATTATTATTTGATGTTTTAGATATATAAAGCGAACATTTATCTTGATGAACAAAATAGGTCACAAATGATATTTTGATCTAAGACTGAAATTTGTAACAGGATGAAAGGATGTAATAAGGAAAGAAGATAGAAAGGAGAATAATTGACAATATATTGAGACTAAGAAAAGAATTAGAAAAATGCTTGTTTTTAGAAAATTTCTATTATTTATGCTCATTGGCACATTAACGACGCTATTTTTTTCTTATATTTATTTTTTCTTTATATTAGATGTATATATTCAATGGTTCTTAACCAATATTCAAGATATGCAGCAGTATGATTACATTATTGGTAAAGTGTACATTTAATTAAGATAGACCAAGAAAAATGATAATATGTAAATTTTAAAATTTGATCCAAAAGTTTTTATCTTTTATTGTAACAAATTTTAAATTGGATATAACTTTCATGATAATAGACAATTTCTTATATTCTTTATCTTTAAACAAAATTGATTTAGTTTATTACAATTATATATTTACAATTATATTACAATTATTTATTTTATTCATACTACTTTAAGGCTACTTTAATGTTATTTTATATTTATCTCTAATCTAGTTGGTGCTGGCAGTGCTGGTGCAATTCTGGCAAAGCATCTAGCAAAAGATAATCATAGTGTGTTATTGTTAGAAGCAGGTGGTACTGCTCCATTTTTTCTCGACATACCACTTTTAGCACCTATGATTCAAAATACCGTTTATGATTGGCAATATGTTACTGTTCCTCAAAAGCAGGCATGCAAAGGTTTAATTAATAATGTAAGTATATTTGCATAAACAATTCTAGCATATATATTGTTATAAAGATGTATTCATAGCAAAGCAGATGGCCTCGAGGCAAACTTCTTGGAGGCACGAGCCGTCTAAATTATATGGCTTATGTATTGGGACATCGACTAGACTATGAAAAATGGTTCCCAGACTTTATTGGTATATAGGATTTATATAACAACCTACATGGAATAAATTTAGAAATGTATTTAAATATACTTCAGCTTTTTTCATCATAAGAATATTTTAGAATCGGTTATGAAAAGTCATGAATCAATAAGTATTAATGAATTAGAATGGAGTTCTGATTTTGCTGATGTAATTTTGAAGGCGCTAAAGGAATTAAATCATAATATTAGCAATATAAATTTGCAATTGGATATAGGTACCTAATTTTTTTATAAAATTTTAGTTGCATTTTATGTTTATATATCTATTGTAATATCTATTATTTAGGTTTTATGAAGGCTCAATTGACAATGGAGAATGGCAAAAGATGGAGTTCAGATAGGATATTAAACTGGAAAGTCAATCGTTCTCTGACTATACTTACTCATGCGCATGCCAATAAAGTAAGTTTAAACAATCATGCGTTTTTTGATATTGAATATAAAATATAATTCTAATGAACTATATTATATTATTGAAGATATTAGTGAATTTGGATAAAGCTGAAGGAATTGAATTTGTTAGATTCGGTAATAAATATACAGCAATAGCAAAGAAAGGAGTTATTTTAAGCGCTGGTGCAATTGAAAGTCCAAAATTATTGATGTTATCTGGAATTGGACCAAAAAAGCATTTGGAAACTGTTGGTGTAAGTAATTTCCAATCTAATTTACTCTAATCCTAAATTTCTATGATATCCTCTTGTGATTTATTCTACATCTATAATATTTGTTTTATGTATAATATTAATATAATGTACAATACTACTGTACTACTATAATATAATATAACCAAAACTAATTTTTGAAAACAAAACGAAAAATTTTTATTATAATTATAAATATAATCTACAATTATTTTTTAATAAAGTAGTACTATATCATATCATCCAGATTAAAGTGATCAATGATCTACCAGTTGGTCAGACTTTGATGGATCATATATTAACTGGCCTGGATTTAATCACACTTAATGCAAGTCTTGGATTAACTTTTTCTGATATTTTTAATCCTATATCAGCCTTGAATTACTTCTTCTTTGGAAAAGGTCAAACAATAATTCTACCAAAGATATGCAGATATGTTTGTCAAATTTGCTCTATAATTTTATAAATTCTAATTATAATTTAGTAACTTTATAACTACTGTTTTTACTTTTGTATATTATTTAATAAATGTAACTATATATATATAAAAGTTGTTTCATAATTATAAGTTTTAGTAAATGTTTAAATTATATATACATACTATCATTACATCTTAATCATCATATAAACAATATAAATATAAATATAAATAATTTATTTAATTAGGACCATGGACATCAGCAGGAATAGAAGTATTAGGAACTTTTCATAGTCCACGTGCAAATAAATCTACAGTACCAGATTTACAATTAATGGTACTACCTCTTGGGGCAACAAAAGATAATGGTTTTATTTTAAAAAAAGCAATGGGACTTTCTGATGAGGTATATATAGATCTAAATTGGAATAATAAATTAAAATAATAAAGAAATTATAAACTAAAATTAACAAGTTATGTACTATTTTTTCATTTTCATATGTTTTCTTCAAGGTTTATAGCAAGTATTTTGCTCTACTTTTGAATCAAAATACAGTAACAATCGCACCTGTTTTATTACATCCTAAAAGTAATGGAGAAGTGCGATTGCTAAGCAATAATCCCATTGATAAGCCAATAATTGATCCAAAATATTTATCAAATAAAGATGATATTGACACTCTTGTAGAAGGTAATCAACACGATGTAATTTTTTTATATTAAAATTAATATATATATATATATATATATATATATATACATATTTTATATAAGAATATGAATATTTAGGCCTGTATTTTATAAAAAATTGCTGAATACGGATGCCATGAGAGCTTACAATGTATCTCTCAATAAAAAATCTTTCCCTGGTTGTGAAAATCATATATTTGATACCAGAGAATACTGGAAATGTTATGTACAGCACTTAACACTAACTGCTTATCATCCAGCTGGTACATGTCGCATTGGCGACGTTGTTGATACATCATTTAGGTAATTACAAAATTATAATTAAGAAAGCAAAAAATTAATATAAATTGGATGCGAAGAAAAATATAAAAATATATTTTTTAATAGAGTAAAATTTAAATACATACACAAAGGTTTTTCACAATTTTCAATTAAAAAAAATCTTTCAAAAATAGAATATTTTAAATAGAAGATTTTATACAGAACTGAAATACAGATTTCTTAGCAAAGGAAATAAAAATAATTTCCTTTTTCTTTTAAATGTATATTTTCTATTGAATACTAATTCTGCCTTTATTACATACTTATATTACTTATATCATCTTGCGTTTGGCTCATATTAATTTCACAATCTCAAAAATTCGTTTTTTAAATTATTGTTTTATTGTAATTAAAATTATTACAGAATTTATAATATGAAAAATTTATATGTTGTGGATGCATCTGTTCTTCCATCACTACCAAGCGGAAATATTAATGCAGCTGTGATTGCAGTGGCACAAAAGGCTGCCCATATATTCAAAAAAATAGAAAAGACAAAAAGGCAACATAAATCATATATTATTTGTTATGTATTTAATATTTGTATTAATACCTAAGTATGTGTAAATATGCAAATAAAACTTATAATTAATTAAATAACTCATCAGTTATTAATATGATCAATCTAATATCTTCATTAATATATAAGCAAAAACAAAAATCTTTTTACTGCTACTTAATACTAATATGATATTAATATATGCTTTCCTTACAATATATAAACCTTCCTTCCCAAGTAATTTTGTTTCATGTTATTTATCTAATATAAACATACACAGGCAGGCATACATATATATATATATATATATATATATACACATATATATTACCATACACACATACATACACACACACACACACACAAATACACATATATATATATATATGTTTTACATATGTACATCATGTCCATATGCATACATAAGTTCTAAGTTATGTCAAAAATAATCCATTTTTTTTAAACTGTCATTAAAATTTTTCTTGATATCTTAAAGTTCTTAAAGATTTCTTCCTTAGAGATATTGATTTGTAACTAAAAAAACTAAGCATATATAATACAAATATATAAATGTTCTTATTCAAGTACATGAATTATGAAAATTATATAATCATTAATAAACAACATCAATATCAAAAGTAGAACAGTAAACTAAATTCTTGTTTATTTCTTATATAATTTAAAAATTATCTCAAGTCTAATTTTAACAACGATTGAAAAGTAATTATTATCAATGATAAGTCCATCTTTTTCTATTGTCATTATGTCTAAAGTAGTCATTGGAATGATAATTATTATTTCTCTTATGATAAGATCTTTCATCTCTATAGTGATCATGATTACATTCTCTACTTTTCCCCCTATCTTTCTCCCTATCTCTATCTCTGTTTCTCTCTCGATTTCTATCTCTTTCTTGATTTCTATCTTTATCTCTCTCCGATTTCCTATCTCTATTTCTCTGATAAGGATAATTTCTTCTACCCCTATCATCATTGCTAGAATTTGTATCCAATTGTCTCGGATATGTCAGACCATCTTGTGAAATATATGTACCAAATGTGGTACCACCAGCAATTTGTGGTGGATAATTTCCCAAGACCATTTGCTGACCCTGTTCCAACATGTGATTCATGTGGCGAACAGAATTCGGAAATTGTTCAGCTTGCTGTGATTCTGTACTATTTCTTAATTTCATGTTAAGAATACGATTATACAGCATTGTACCCTCAAACAGGTGTAAAGCATAGTCTACAGAATGTATATGTTTGTAAGTGATAAATCCATATGTTCTTTGCTTGCCATCACGATCCTTAGGAATGGTTATCTTTTGCACAGGACCTCCCTAATATAATAGAAATATTTGTAATGCATTGCTTTACTGAATACTGAGTTGTTTACTTAATAATATTTTTAAGAAACAGTAAATCTTTTCTAAATTCCTGTTTATATTTTTATAAATAAATTATAAGAAAAATATAATTTTCTTCTTCTAATTTCCCTTCTCTCATCCCTAATATTGATATTTTAAAAAATATAAAGTTTACCAATAGAAACTACAGCAGACTGATATCAACTTCATATTAAGTATATATTCGAACAAATTTAATAAACATAATACAATGACTACTATAACGTAATATTCCTTGTCGTATAACAATGAATATTATAACCCCATAAATTTTGTTATGTTTCTATTGATATTCTGCTGACATTTCATATGATTAATTTTTCATCAAACTTTCCTTTTCTTTAGCCAAACTTAAAACAAACACCCTAATACATGCCTTTTATAAACTTGGCTATAGATTTATTCCTCTCAACTGAATTTCCTGTACCGTTCATTTTTCTTCTCTTTCTCTTTATGTTGGAGAGAAAAGAAACGATAAACGATGTAAGTTCAGTTAAAAAAGTTTTATATGAAATTTAGATATATAAAGATAAAAATATCAGTGTATAAGTTATTATGTTTACAATTATTACAGGATACTAACTTGTAGAAATAATTCATAGAGAATATCCTCAGTGACCTTCTCACTTAAATTTCCGCAATAAATTGTGCGTGCATCGTCATCCATCTTCAGGAAAATTTTATTTTTTACTTGTTTATACTACGATTTCCGTCTCATAACAGTCAGTGCTGTATTTCTATTTTTCCTTTCCTTTCTATCTCTTCTCTAAAAACCTTCAAAACTTATGATAATAAATAATATTCAATATATTGAATCAGGTTAGAATTATAAAAACTAAATTCTAAGAGTTAATCTTACTAACCTCTAACAATTTTGATCAACTTTATCATTGCTGCCAACAGCAAAACTTCTACTTATCATTCATTCTGATTCATTGATTCTTTATTCTTCCTTTAAATTTTTGATAGAAAGAAGAAAGAATTAAGCAAATGTAAATTTAAATGTAAAAATGTCCAAATACAAATACCAAATATTTAATATCACCTAATTGAATGTAAATTTTATCAATTTTATCAATTTGTTGTTTGGTCTAACATAAATTACATATATATTTACATATTGACAACTTTGTCAATTAAATTGTTAATTGTTAAAAATTAATTCTAAGAAATTGAAATTTAAATTAAAATTACAAGTGTGGGACGCCTCATAATAATAAATATTTCATTCTAAATATTTCATATATTAAATAAATTATTCTTATATAAAATTCATATAGATCTTATTCTATTCATTTTTATTTCTAAAAATCTGAATCTTATTATATAGATTTGACAATAGTTTTTGTCTAAGTAATTGTAATAAAAAATCCAACACAATGTTTATACATCCATGTGTATTTTATAGATACATGTATGTCTATGTATTATAAATACATTGCATATATATATATATATATATATATATATATATATATATATAATAATATATATATAGT